ACTAATTTGTGACGGCCCTGGATTATTCCACTGATAAGTTCACATTGTCAGTGCGAATCATTCAAATATGATATTAACTTGGTAACACCACATTTTCTAAGAATCAAAAAAAAGTTTTCGGAAAGCGAGGCAAAGGAAATTGTGTCTATTTCTAAAGCAAGAGTCCACGTTGAAAGAGTGAATCAACGAATGTGGATTTTCAGTATTTTAAATACTCCTTTGTCCAATAATTGAATTCCTTTAATTGATAATATAATGATTATTATAGGTGCCATGGTAAATTTGCAATCAGCAGTCCTTGCTGAGAATAAATTTGATTAATCACAATATTTGATGTTTATTTGAAATATTATTTATATATGAGTGTGTACACATAATGTTTGCACACACCCCATACTTTTAGGTGTTTAATAAATTGAAATAAAATGTGCCAATTAATGTTATATATTTATATTATTTCACAATGTCCTATTTTGTTCACAGACAAAATGAAGCAAATTGTTAAAATATTTTTGTGTTATTGTGTGTATCAAATCCACAGCAAAATCTTTATCGAATGGCACAACAATGTTCAAAAAAGATTTTGATTTTGAAGAATACACCAAAACATCACAAATCTCTAAATTTAAAATGGCCATCCCAAGCTGGACTTGTCCATAATATTGGTGCTTCTTTTTTATTGTCATTCTAGTATCACTTAATTCCAGAAATGAACAAGTCTCTACAAAGCTGATGGCATCTTTTTCAATACCTAAAAACAAACAAATAATGTTAATAAACATTTAAGTATTAAACAAATACCTAAAATTATGCACCTTCATATGGACATTTGATTTCTATTAGCCTAGTAGAATGAGCCTGAACCAAAACAACACCATCAGGTGAATAAGCCAGAAATGGAAATTTTTGCAAATAATTAAACCAAGCTGACGAACATCATACTTGGTTATAATTTTATACTCTTCTAATGCCTCCGACTTATACTTTAGACAGTGTTCGACGTACTTATTTGAAAGCTCCTTAGGCCAAAAAAAGTTTTTTGCTTGTTCCGACCAGTCAGCTTTGGAAAATGTGTAAACTGCGTAACATCTTGAGCCTACAAAATATATTCGACTATCAATAAAAGATACAAACACTTTATTAAGAATACATACCAGTTAGTCGTAATTGTCTCTCTTTATACCAAATTGCAGATTTTTGAGGATAATTCATTATTTCTTCATATTTTTCGATGGTAAGTACTTCGTTTTTCAATACTTTTTTACAGCAGGCTCTGACATAAAAATCAGAAATTTTAATATTTAGAGAATCCAAAAATTGGGAATTTTCCATCTTATCCATAATATTTTGACGATTTTCACAAGAATAGTATTGATTGGTATTGATGCCGTTGACTTTGTTTAGCTGTGTCGATCGTCCTTTTCTAAAAGAATCACATTCGTAAGAACTTCAAAACTACATATTATATAAACACAACTTACAAATGCTTACTTAACCCAGAATCTTTACAAAGCTTAGTCAATGTTTCGAAACAGTATTCGCCTTGTTCTGCTGTTAAGTCAACTGTGGAAATTTTTTTTTAATGAAACATGCTGTTTTAAGTAGTTGTTGGGGTTCATAATCCTGCCCCACTTTTCGTTTGTTGTCGGTCCAGTAGCATTTGACATCAGTAGAAGATAACTTCTCTAGTGAAAGAATATCGGTCCTAAAAACAGGTAAGATAACAAAATAGCGATCAGTCAAATAAAACTAAGTATAATATCGAAGTACCTTGTGCATTTTAACAGTACGGCACTTATATGTTTGCAGGTCCCAGACAAACCAGCTTTGCAGCTGCATTTGAATGTTTTAATTTCTATGTTATTTTCTTGCAGTCCTAAGGTACCCTTTAGTTCATGTGGCACACTTTTCAGCGCACTAGTTTGCAGACATAAGGCTAATATGCCTTTTGTGGCATCTGTTTCACTTGTAATGCCAATCAACATAATGTGATTAGCATTTAAAAGTTCTTCTCCTTCAACGACACATCTGCTTTCTGCATGTGCGTTTAAGTAAGCGAATACGGTTCTCAACAGTAAGAACACTTGAGAACTCATCGCAACACCAAAATTTCAAATGTTTTTCACGCCAACCACTAACAATTTTTACCTTTAATAATACTCAAACCGTTCAACACGAGGGAAAACGTTTCTTCTCACCGGAAAGCAAAGCGTCAATGCCGAAAGAGTTCTTGCTTTCCTCCATATTTGCTTACAAGCACCAGCGCCCTCATCGGTAATTTGCATCGCGAATACTACCCGAACCGTACCGACGTTGTCATTATTTGGCTTCTGTCATCTGCTTATGTTTACAATAAGCTAATTTTAGAGGTCTGCGGTTATGTATACGGGATGTGTAAAGCACAGTGTAGTTCTAGAATTTGGAAAAAAACAATGCCGTCAAAGTGTCCTATATGTAAAGAACTGTTTGCCACACAATCGTCTCGTAACAGGCATGTAAGAGAAGTGCATCAAAAACATCCAGAACCTGTAGCTTATTCATATCAAGAGGAAAAGGGCTCCACTTTTAGTAGTCGTTGCCTTGAATCGGATTGTGACAACGCATTTAAAACTAATAAGGATTTAATGAACCATTTGAGATTAATTCATTCAATGAAGTTTGAAATTGAGAGCCATGTCATGGGAAATATAAATGGTACATTTGCAATTTTAGCAAGGCTGTTGATCTGCAATTATTTAATTAAGTCAAGAAAATCAAGATTAATAACCTTTTGATTTCAGATTTTGAGAGCTGGAAATCCAATATTGAATATGTTAACAAATGCTCCTATGTTTTCAAAAGTAGACATGCAAGTACTGTTGGCGAAATAGCGAAATAGGAGTAAAATAAGTATGATATTAGGTTTATCTATCACCGCGAAATGATTCATTTAATTATTTGTTTTATGTGCTGAATTAATTTTATGTACTGTGTTGATTGTAGGTCATGTTCTTAAATCCAATGATCAAAGAAGTAGATTGTTAAATAGTGTTGGATCATGTAAGATGAGTAGTGCTTGTACTAGTGGAATCAAAGTGATTAAAGAAAATAACAAAGTTGTCGTACGATGGCAAAAAATCCATTATGGTCATAAGGTTGAGATACAACACATTAGATTGCCGGAGAGTGTAAAATTACCGAAAAATGTTATTTTAATTTTTGCGATTATATTCTTGTAATTATTATTTAACTAACGAAATATTAAACCAAACCCCTTATTTTAGAATCTACACGAGATGATATTGGGGCGAATTTAAAACGAATAGATTTGTTGACATCTAAAGACATACGAAACATAAAAAGCAGTATGGCATACTGTTTAGAGGAGATTCTATCATTAACACTAATATGCATTTGGAATCTATGCACAAAACTATAAAATATTTTTACTTGGATAGGAAAACTGTAAAACTCCTGGATAAAGGTTTAAACGCTGTATTAAAGTTTGTCCGTATTACTTTACAAAAAATACCATAAGTGCTGCAGATTTATAAACGCTAATAAGTGAAGTAATACGAGATCTAGCAAACATAGGCATTCATGTCAAGTGTACAGTGTGCGACCAGGGACCTACCAATGTATCTGCATTGCGACAAAAAACTCAAATGGCTTGATTGTCATAAAGTAGGATTTACCTTTTTAAAAACACGTGCAATCAATCAGGACTCACTTGAAAATATATTTTGCGTTATTCAACAAGGTGTGGAAAATGTTTATCCAAATTGCTTTCAATTTATGTGTAGCTTAAAAACCAGTTTATTAAATAATTTAGTGTCAAGCAGAGGCATTGCAAAAAATTGTGAAGATGATAATATGTCTGTTGGATTTCTGCGTAAATCCATTAGGTTAATTTAGAAATATGGCATTTAGTTTCTAGATATTTTGTTCACGCTTTCTTTTTCACTTGAATGGTATTTAGACCACCCTGAGAAATGCACCCCGGCAGGCGGAGGYAGGGTAGTTAAACCACTGACCTGCTCTGGTGGCAKWTTCTGTTCTTTTTGGTTAGTTTTTAGGTTAGGTTAGGTCCACCCAGAAATGTATTCAGACCCAATCAAAACTCWTAAAATCAATTTCCTAAAAGGCCTACACCCATGTCAGAAATTTCCAGTAATTCTCTTACATCCACCAGAAAACAAGTATTAAATTCTCAATTTAATAATTTCCAAAGACCGTTTWATAAAACCCCACAACCAATGATAGTTGAACRAAMTATAATTGCTCGTATCCAATGAATACGAGGATCATTCTACAAATCSGCATTGTCAAAATTATGAAAATTTTTRTAATCAAGAATACTTTGACTGTCCTCAGTCAACACAAACATACTCTGATCAATCTGAAGACCAAATTAACTTTTTTTYTTCGGTGAGGTTTGGGAAATGCTCTTTTATGCACTCCCAGAGATGGTGGTCTGTCGCTCRGGGTTGTGTGGGRCTCCAGCTAAGCTATTTACCCACTAAAAYCCTTTCCTCACCGCCGAGGTGGWGKTTGGCCTTGCACCGCGGTCATTTCTGTCCTATTGTGCCATCGGAATTTTACTCCCTCATTATCCTTGTATATTCAATGAATTMCAGAAGAATCGTGAGGCGAGTTCGCATGATCTGGTCTGGTAAAACTTCGTCCCCTCCCAGGAGTCTTCGTCTACCTGTTGCATATGACGTGCAGTGAC